AGAACATACTTTGGGTCCCCCAGAGATGGTGCTGGGTTGGTGAAAAATGCCCAGTCATGGAGTCAGCCAACTCTGTTTTCTTTTTTTAATTTTAAAGACAATAATAAAAAATAAAAATGATACAGAATTTCCAAAACAAGATGATAGGAAATTAACAATGGGTAGTATATTGCGTATTGTTATATGCAATGCAACTACTTGAGCAAAGTAATTGCTCAAGACATAGGCACATAGGATTGATCAAATAATATGAACTCTAATTGTTCCTTTCAATGAAATAATAAAAATTAGTAGTACAATTATCCTAGCTATTGTGTGTGTGTGTGTATATATATATATATATTCATATTCCTTCCTTCTTTTCTCCTTTCCCCCATCCCAGTTATTCTTTCCTTTTTGAGCAGTTTCTTTGCCTTCACAATGTCTAGCGTACCTTTTGGATTTTATTTACTCTTTCAGTTTCTTATACTAGAGAGACAATACAATGTTTACACATGTGGGTCTGATTTATTTCATTTATGAGTATGTTCTCAAATTGCATCCATTTACCTATAAAAGCCTCGAGTTTATCTTTCTTTATAGCTCAGTAGTACTCCATTGTATAAAAATACCACATCTTTTTTGTCCTTTCCTTGCTTGATGGGCATTTGTGTTGTTTCCAAGATTTAGTTATTACAAATTGCACTGCTATAAACATGGGTGCACATATATCACTGCGGTATAATGCTTTTAGTTCTTCTGGGAAAGTACCCAGAAGGGGAATCGCTGGGTCGAATGGGACCTCTAATCCTAGTTTTTTGAGGAGTCTCCACACTGATTTCCACAGTGGTTGTACCAGTCTACACTCCCACCAACAATAGAGAAGGGTCCCTCTTTCCCCACAGCACTGCCAGCATTTGTTATTGGTTGATTTTTTGATAACAGCCACTCTTTCTGGGCTGAGAGGGAATCTCAGAAACCCTGGTTTTGAATACCGTTCTTAATACTCCCTGTGTGACCTTGCGGAGAAGACTTAAACTCTCTAAGCCTCACTTTCCTTTTCCATGAAGTCAGTTCTAGGATGCACATTTGAGGATGTACATTTTTTTTCATCTCTTAACATCCTTGTTTGAGCGCCACATTTTTCTTTCTGTGTGGCACATGCAAAAATGATGCATCGTACAACTGATGGTGTCTAAGATGTGATGAAATATGACCTCCACCTTAAGAGGTTGTCAGGAGGTAATGTATGTACAAGGCTTAGCATAGTATCTGGCACAAAGCAAAATCACTTAAATGGCAATTGATTTTAGCTATTATTAAAAAATAACAGGAACTGTACAGTAAGGTTTTGAGAGCAGCTGACAGTGTGAAAATGGAACCCAAATTGAGATTGATCTCTTCTTTTCTTCTCCAGGCAGACTTTAGAGACAGTAAATTACAGTGCTGTCCTGGCCAGTCTTCCCCACTGATCCCAGCAGTGGCCCTGAGGCCTTTGACAGAGACCGTCTCCACAGTACAGACCATCTATAATGCCCGAAAGCCTGTTTCTCTGGCAGCCAGGTAAGTTAGACCAGCAGGCACCAGCAGGTCACTGGTGACAGGGCCACCATGCACAGACTGGGTGCACTGTGTTTGTGACATCTACAGTTCTTTCACTGATCCCATAGTATTTATGGAAATGTCTACAAGGAGTGAACCGCATTCTAGGTGGTGGTGAACAAAACACAAAGTCCTACCGTAACAGAATTTATGCTTTAACATGTGAGAGGGTGTGTGTGTGTGTGTGTGTGTGTGTGTGTGTGTGTGTGTGTGTTAGTGACAAATTCTAAGGAGGAAAATAAAACTGTGATGAGCAAAAGGACGTGCTGGGGTGGCCTCATTGAGCAGGTGGCATATGAGCTGAGACCTGCAGGTGGTGACGGGGCAGGCTGCAGACATCTGGGTGAAGAGTAGACTTGGCAGTGGGAATAGCTAGTGCTGTGGCTCCTGAAGTGCAGCCTCCCTGGGGAAGTTAAGGAAGAGTACGGGGCCTTGTGGTCAGAGCAGTGACAGGAAAGGAGACCATGCATTTTCAGGTTGGAGCCGTACTGCATAGGGCCTCGTTGGCCATAGTACCAACTGCTTTGAGTGAGAGTAGTAAATTTGATTGTTCCTTTAAAGATATGCATTTCATACAAGTTAGTGTGTGTGTGTGTGTGTGTGTGTGTGTGTGTGTATGTGTGTTTAAATAACGGAAACATGCCTCATAGACATGCAGCCGGTCCTGATGTCCACAAGATCAGAGGCAACCCTTCAAAGAGCCAATTTTACTTCATTCAATTTTATTCATTGAATGTAATGCATGCTTCGTTGAGATGTTACCTCAGACTACCTTAAGTTCTGGGAGAAACTACATATGAAGCCAATTTAAAGAATGACTTAAGAAATCTAAGCTCTGGATGTCTTCCCATTCATTCAAGACTTTTACCATGTGCTGCTATGTACCAGACCCTTGCTGGCTTGAGGTTTTAGTGATAGATGGTGCACTCTCAGTCTGATGTGGGAATCCATAAGTGGCCAATTTTGGGTCATTGTAATCTTAGCTAATGTAAAGGGTCCTTAAGGAGTCTAAAACAGGAAGGCAAGAACTGAACTCCAGAAAGAATCCAGGAGACCTGGGTATGGTGACACAGGCATGCAATCCCAGCACTTTGGAGGCTGAGGCAAGAGGATCACAAGTTTGTGGCTATCCTGGGCTACCTAGTGAAATCCTGTCTGCAAAACAAACAAACGATCTAAGAGATGACACTGAAGCTGTCTGCTTCTGTAATTCTGGAGGGCTTGTCTCATTATTTTGTCCTTTGCTCCTTTTCAGTGCAGAGACACTCCGGCACGAGCTGGAAAGAGAGAAAATGATGAAAAGACTGTTGATGACCGAACTGTGAAATTCTCCTCTTATCGCCTGGAGGATGGCATGGTGCCTTCTGTCCGTTTCCTTTCTTCGGGCTTTGTGTGCTCACTTTAGCACAACATACAAATGTCGTGTGCTGTGTTTGCCCGGGTCTCATGGTTAGTGGAAGCCAACTTCTGGCTCGACTATTACTGGAAAAGTTACTTTAGTCTCCTGAGCACTAGAAGTTTTTTTTTTCACTGCTCAGTGTAATTGAGACAAGATTTGATAAGGCTAGGAAAAGAAAGAAAGGAAAACTGGGATTCCTGTTCAAAAGCACCTGGGTGCATCTGTTAATAGCCGCAGTGGTTAAGCTGACACAGACTCCTTTGCTAACAATCTGAACCACATGATTTTGTATGACAGAAACTTGCACCAAGCTTTGACTGATTGTTAAGGAATCATTTTTAATGAGATTCTTTACTGCTGGTTTTTCATTTACACTGATAAACACATGGATCTTCTAAAATCCTTTATTTTTATTCAGACGTGAGCAGATGAGCTAAAAAAAAAGGTTACATGTCACTATGTCTTAAAATACTTCAGTTTAACCTGAAATATAATTTAATGTGTAATCTTGTTGGATATAATATTATCCACAATAAATAGAATTTATCATTGAACCCAAAGTAGGCAATGCCAGCTTAAATTGTCTAAAAATCTTTACAGGGTTAAGATAATTCAATATCAAAAAGATTCGTTCTGGTGTTCCATAAAGGAAAATTATTTCTAAAGTTGGTTAGTTTATGTCCTGTTGATAGAACCTTGACCAGAAGAAACTTTGCTCTCTTTTTATATAGTTTCAAGAAATGTGTTTTTAAATTTTTATTATGCACTTGATTAACTTTGCAGGAATAAAGGAACCCCCAGCCACAAACTAGCCTTCTAAATTATTTCCCTGGATTTTTCAATGAATATGCACACCTTTTACAAAGCTATGATCAGTGTGTACATTCCATGTTGTTATATGCTCCACCTAACACTTCTCCCCTTATCAAACATCCTATTTTCACCAATGTAAATGTCTTTATATCCATATAACATGGTTAACGTTATTTCTCCCCATTATTAGCAAGTTGAATCATACCCAGTTTTTCACACTTATAAATAGTGCTGCTATGAATGTCTTTGTAAAAAAAAAAAAGTTCCTTTCTTTGGATTATCCCCTTGGGAATATCTCCAAAGAGGGATTACAAGGTCAAAGAGCATGAAGTATTTTATAGCTCTTATTTTATATTGCCAGATTGCTTTTTAGAAAGATCCAATCTCGGGGTTGGAGGACCTTACAGGTCATTGAATTTCCCTTCCCCCTTCTGAATGCTTGAATCCCCTCTACAATTTATGATGCCACCAGCAATGTGTAAGAATTTTTATTTACCAATAGCTCTGCTAGAACTGGGTTTTGCCATTTTTATTTATTTTTGCTAGTTTAATAGATGTGTATAATTGTTCTTGAAAAGTTGTTTTATTTCATTAATTACTAGCAAGCCTGAGTACCTTTCCATGTGATGATTTACTAGATGTATTTCCCCCTGTATGAACTGTCCATCTGTTTCTTATGACCCACCTGTTAAGTGGACTTGAGCTCATACATTTGTATCAGAGCTGTATTTTTATGTTGTATTGTATAGTTTGCTCTCTTGTCCCTATCCTTACAAATGAATGGTGCCAATCATTTGATACTAATGACTATAAAAAAGTAATGCCTCGTTTACTAGCATTGTTGTAAATGAAGGTTATAAGAAAACATTCAGATAACTGAGGAGTAACCCTTTCAGTGCTGACTCTTTAAAATTTTAATATTTTTTGGAGGGAAATCTTTCTAAATGTATTATATTACCTGCTTCCCTGCCTTAGTAAACACAGTATACTGGAGAGTATTTAACTTTTTCTTGGTCATCAAAATCATCACCCCGTTTTTACCCTGGTGTGATGCAGTGATGTCACCAGGAGCTATCAAAATGCATAGGGCTTGGCTTGGCCTTTTGCAGGCTATTACAGTCTTCTCATTGCTGGTTTTTTTACTGCTCTGTGCTCTGTTATTGGAGCTATCTGAGGCAATTGTAACTTCGGGGGCCTTTTACCCTGGTGACCCCAGATGTACTTTTATAATGGCTTTAGCTGTTCTTTGTCTTGTGGACATGACACAAAACATGTTCTTGTACAACATGGGGTTGTCACTCCTTGCCGATCCAGAGCCTCTTCCTCTTCTAAATTGCTTTCTGAGGCGTCTACTCTTCCATGTCCTGCTCCTGATGGAAACCTTCAGGACACAGCCGAAGATTTCCTGGGGAAGCCGGGGCACCAAGTATTTCATTATGTGTCAGGTCTGCTTTGCTTCCAAGGAGGAATGCATGGGCTTTTTGGCTGCTGTTTCCAGGAGGCTGAGTCTCCTGCTCTTCCCCACCTCCCCTTGGGTTCACAGGCGTTTCTGAAGATGAATGTCACTGGAAATCTGACCACAAACATGTTGGCTGTTATTGTATATGAAAACCCAGTACGTTCGGCAGCTCCCCTCTAACCAGTAAAATCAAAAGGTTTCCACTGTTTCAGCAGTCGTCCTGGTTATTTACCTACTTAAATGTATGATGGGTGCTTGGCACTTCGACCTGAGAAGATGAAATTGTATCGGGTGGATTCAGTGACTGAGAGGAGTTATGCAACTGCTTCACTTTTTATGTGCCAAAACCACAACAGTAGCACCGTAAAGTCACACAGCACACACCTTACATTCGAGGGAAAATCATTTCACTAACAGAATCATTTCATAGTGAGGGCTGGCCATAGTCTCCTGGTGGGCGTGGTGGGTTACTTCAGGGCCTGGGAATCCTCAGTCCACAGGGTTTATAGACTGTGCACCTCACAGATCATTAGGTTTGAAGAGTTTGGAAACAGAACCCTTGAACATTCAGGAAATCCCACCAGGATGCATCCAGGATTTTGTTTTTCCAAAATAGCACGGGAGTATTCTAATATCACTGTTACCTTTCTTTCACCATCTCAAAGATCACAGCTTTTTAAAAGATTCAAATAAAAATCACCATTTCATCCATTTTAAAGTGTGTAATTCAGTGTTTTCTGGTGTACCCACAATGCTGTGCAGGCATCAGCACTATGAAATTCCGCTGCCACCCTCATCCCCTGGCAACTACTAATCTACTTTCTGTCTATGGGTTTTCTTACTCTGGACATTTTGTAGAAATGGAATCATACCACATGTGGTCTTCTGTGATTGGCTTCTATCACTTAACATCATGTTTCCAAGGTTCACCTGTGTTGTGGCATGTACCAGAACTCCATTCCTTTTTATCCATGGCTGAATAATATACCATTGTATGGATATACCATGTCTTGTTTATCCATTCATCAGTTGATAGAGATTTGGGTTGCTCCTACTTTTTAGCGGTTATGAATGAGTCTGTTATGAACATTCATGTGCAATTTTTTGTGTGAACATATGTTTCCCGTTCTCTTGGAATTGTGAGATCATATGTCAACTCTACGTTTAACTTTCTGAGGAACTACCAAGATCGCAGCTTTTATTTTTCATGAAATCCAAAGTACAAAATTACATATACTACTTAGTCAGAGGCACGGGCATAGCTGTTACTGGGCAGACACTGAAACACAGCACTGTTCTGAGGAGGTTTTAATACCAGAAAAAATCTTCGGTTTTTACAAGAGGAATGACTTTGATGAGAATAAAAAATAAAAGTGCTGTCGTTCTTTTAAAAATGAAAATGATATCAAGCTCTGATTAATCTCTAACTTCTATGTATAGCTGACTCTTGAGCAAGGAACCTCAGAATGTTCAGGCAAAGTTCTGCCCCAGAATGTGTGCACATATGGGAGAATCACAATAGAATTTTGCCATCCACCAGGTTCACGTGAGTAGGGGGCACAGGATCTTCACAGACATGACATATAACTCAGGAAAATGTGTGCCAAGGGTCCTTTATAATTTATGTGTGCTAAGGTTTGAACCTCAGATCTGAAATGCGTTAGATCACAATGCTACCACTCAGCTATACCCCAACCCCTATTGAGGGTCTTTCAGGGCTTAAATCCTGTAAAAAGCCCAAAGAATAAGAGAACCCTTAAGACAGTTTAAATGGGCCAGAGAGGATCTCATGAAATTGTAGGAACCAGTTCTAAAAGGAATTGGAAACCTAAGTGTTAAGGCCCAGGTGAGACATCCAGACTTTGAGTGGCCTATAAATGCTATGAGCCTTCTCCATAGAAAAACCCACACATTACACGAATAGCACTTTTATAGGGACCTCACACCACCCGTGAGCCTATCCATGGCCTCCTTTGTGGGCACTGACTCCAGGTACTTGAAAATGATAATCAAAATCCACAGACTAAATATCATGTTAGGATATGATTACAAACCCTCCTACAACAGAGGGAGAGAGAGAGAGAGAGAGAGAGAGACAGAGAGAGAGAGAGAGACAGAGAGAGAGAGAGAAGCCATACACTTTTATCAGACCAATTCACCAGGAGATGTGATCTAGTTTGTATTTACCTTCTATTTACCTTCATCACTGTTAGTTGTAATAATTGAAATGAATAGAATAAAAAGGAAAATAATAGGTAATAGTTTTGATTCCCAAAGGAGGGGATCAACGCTGAAATTGAAAGAAGTCTGACGCTTCCTTTTTTTTTTTAGCTAAATATTGATCCATTTACAGCTGACTGTATGTTCTCTGGTAAAGAAAAAAAGAAGAAAAGAAAGAAACGTCAATTGTTAAAGAAAGAATTGTGGGTGTTTAAAAGCTTTTTACACATAAAAATTTTTTTAACGTACCAAATTGGCTTTTAGATTTATTTTAGATTTTTATGTACTACCAAGCTATGCTCTTTGGGAAGGAGTCCTATTTTTGTTTGTTCTGTTTTTCAGTATTGGGTATGGAACCCAGGGTTTTTACACTGAGTTACATCCTTTCCACTTTTTATTTTGAGACAGGGCCTTGCTAAGTTACCCAGGCTGAGCTCAAACTTGCCATCCTCCTACCTTAGCCTCTGAGAGTGTTGGGATTACAGGCATGCACTACTATGCCTGGCTTTAAAAAAAAAAAAAAGTAATTATAATTTTCCTTGCCTTTTCCAAACACAATATATCTGATTAATTTCATGCAACAATTAGTATGTTGGAGGATCTAGTTAAGTTCGAGGTTTCATGAATTACACTTTGCTTCACCTGTCAAAATTAACATATTTAAACATATTGTCCACTTGAAGAAGGCACAGTTAGCTGCTATCTGATGGCAAACACCTGACTTATGAGTCTCCCAGGACATCTCCAGGACATCTCCCTGGTCCAGCAGCAGTTCTCCTGTCTCCCTGACAACTGGGCTATAAAAGGTTGAGGTTGGGGCTAGGGATTTAGCTCAGCGGCACAGCGCCTGCCTGGCAAGTGCAAGGTCGTGAGTTCGATTCCCGGTACCGGAAAAAAACAAACAAACAAAAAAAAAACCACACACATAAAAGGTTGAGGTCACTCGTTTCCCTTGGGGGTTAATGTTTTATAATTCTACGCACATTCATGCATACCTTGAACCCTTTTGAACTTTATTATCTCAATCTTCACTCCATCTTGGAGATTATTGGTCATTGGCAACTAATGATTACCAAACTGGGGTGGTCTGCTTTCTAGGTTTGCATTTGGAATCTCTATGGTTGTTTTTTTTTTTTGCCTCGATAATTATTTTCTTTACTTATGAAATAGAAGAGAAACAAAATCAGGTTCAAAATGCTGGCTGGCCGGGCATGGTTGCAAACACTCAGGAGGCTGAGGCAGGAGAGTCACTGCAAGTTCGAGGCCAGCCTGGGCTACAGAGTGAGTCCAGGCCAACCTGAACTACCTAGCGAGACCCTGTTTCAAAAAATAAAAGAAAACAAAATGCTGGCGGTACAATATCAACATGAAATGTCCCTAACAGAAAGTAGGTTAGCAGTTTGAATGTATGATCAATAACGGTTACCACAAGAGAACCCTGGGAACTTGTATACACTAAGTGCTTGGTGTGCATACATGGATGGCTGAGTAAATAAAGAGAATTATAAGTGGTATCAGACATGGTATGGGCATGGTAGGGTCCAACTGTGCTTGCTGAGGGGAAACATAATCCAGTTGCCTAGTACCAAGAGATGCAGGTTATACCCGGCACCAGCGGCCTTTGCCGAATGAATATACACTCCAAGAACTGGGTTCTAGTTTCCTCTCCGCCTCTGACCACCTCAATTCACCATCTACAGAGTGGGATCCTGCGATTCCAATGTCCTTCTGTGATGAGTCCAGGAAATAAGGGGTCTGGTAAGTCGCTGTATGTAAACCAAAAGTGCGGGGAACAAAGTGGAGGAGGTGACAATTCTGATAAGGGCAGTTTAGGGTCGCTCCCCAGAGGAGCGCTTCTGAAATGGAAACGTGCTTTGGGATGCAAGAACTTGGAGTAAAGATCAACTCCGGCTTCATTCGGGGGTCTGGAGTGGGGCTTGAGGGACGTGACGCTAACGAGCTCCTAGGCGACACTGCTGCTGCCGGTCCGCCTCCCACGCTTGAGTAGCGAGGAGCCAGGAGGACTAAGGGCACAGGACGGAGACTGGAGAACGCGGAGGGCGGGCGGGAGAAGGGAGCAGGGACGCACCCGGACGCCGGAGGGCAGCAGCCGGGAGCAGCGGCGGGAG